ACCGTAGTTTCCCTGAAAACATTTTCTGGAAGCAAGTTCCAGCACTCGATGACTCGACGCGATAACCGTGTCTCCGCTCCAACTCGATCGGGCCGCGGTTTTTTCAGTTTCATACCACGCTCGGGGATACCAGTTAATCTAGCAGGACCAAATAGTCAGCAAAAATCAGGGCACCCTTCCCAGTCAAAATACGGTAGGTTAGGATTAGGTCCCCTCTAATGCTTCGATAGTGCATTGTATGCATCCCCAAACTAAGTAGGCGTTCGGGGTGCGTTTTCCTCGTAACCCCTCGACCAACCTAGTAACGACAGGCAACACCCTTTCTAGTGCCATTTTGTCCCGGACAAGGCATGGTGGACAGGCCTAGACGCAATATTCTAGGTGGGGTCGCACGAATACTGAGAAGAGCTTCACAAACACATTAGCGGTTAGGTACCTGAATGAACGACGGATAAACCACAACATCGGGAGCCCTTTACTAATCGCCTTCTTCCAGTTGTCTCCAGAGTGTAGTGTGGAACAGTGGACGACACCTAGATGAACCTGATGAGTCACGTGGGGAAGTTCACTTCCATCGAGCACATAACTTTTGGAGGAATCAGACGCTCCGCTACGCAGCACTGAACACTTTGCCCGGTTTCTGGGCAGCAACCACAAGACAGACCGTTCCCAGAGTCTATCCAGAGCCCGTTGAAGGGCCACAGAACCTGCAAGGATATCAACAATATTCCAAAGCTTTAGGTCATAGCAAGTAAGAGCGATGGTACCACAAGCGCACACGGTAAGCCATTCACTTAGACTGGGAAAAGCAGAGGACCTAGGACAGTACCTTGCGGAACGCCGTTAAGTACAGGTTATCCAAAGGAATGACTGCTTTCCATACGAATACATTATTCCCGTCCATCCTGAAAAGCTGACACCCACTGGAGAGTGCGACCAGATATTCCATACGACCTCAACTTCAGTGAGAGTCGCGGATGGGGTACGGTGTCAAAGGCATTGCCGAAGTCAAAGAACACCACATCCACCGCATTTCCACTGTCTACGGCTCTAGCTCAGCTCTCACGAGCTATCAGCAAGTTCGTTTGACACGAAAATCATTTATGAAAACCATGATGCTCGACCCTAAGTAGGTTAACCACATTTAAATGGTTCTCCACTATAGCTCGTATTAATTTTTCAAGTAACTACACGACAACGCTAGTCAGGCTGACAGGCCTGTAATTACCCGGTAGGTTTTTGACACCGAACTTAAAAATCGGGCAGACAACAGCATCCTTCCATACGGTAGGTAAGACACAGCTGTTGGGTGACTTCTGAAGCACAAAAGTCAGTGATACACTGCGTTCCACTGCCAATTCATGCAACAATTTTGGATGAAAAGAATCTGACCCGGAAGCCTTAGTTGGGTTCATCTCTCTTATCAACCGGAACACTTGAGACTCAGTTACAGACATTTCATCCAGACAAGAGTGCTCAGAGACCCTTGATGTTGGTTCTCTGCATGGCGTACTTTTGGCGGACAAAGACGCGTGAATACTACTTACCAAGCACGCATGCATTGTCAAACTCGCCATAGTCATGGGTCCCATTTCCTCGAAGCAATAGTGGTATGGACGAGCTTGAACCACAGCACCGTTTAACGTAAACGAAGCATTTCTTGGGATTTTTCGTGGAGTATCAGCTAAGCCCTTTTCATAATGAGGCCGGGCCAATCTAAGTTGTAGCTTGCACTCATTTCGAACCAACCGATACTTGTCAAACGTGCTGTTCGACGGAGCTGTTCGATATGCTCGTTAGCATCTAGGCCACTAATGTAGCAGGTCCTTCCCCGCGGAATTTATACACGGAGGCTGCGCACTCGATTCCCTTCCTTTTACCAGTGGAACTTGAGGTGCAGAAATGTCAAGGAGATGAGCCTTAATCGTTTCCCAGGATAGGTGAACAGTGTCGATCGCAGATATCACACCAGGCGAAGACCTAGCTTTATCCCACATCGCTTGGAATTTCGCGGCCCAAATGTTCGGATGCCAACTGGTAGTAGCTTGGCCAGGCATGATAAGTGTACACTGAAAAGACAAGCAAACGTGATCGTTGGCGCCAAGTGGCGAGTCCTAAGTAATGTCATTTACAAGGTCAAGTGACTTAGCAAAAACAAGATCTAAAACGGACGGCTGATGATTTCTCATGTACATAATGGGGAGGTCTACGAACTTGTGTATTGGTACCTGCAGCGTTAAGTCCAGCAGTTCTGCACCGAACGATCCCAGCGTCAAACTGTAAGATAGATCATCCCAAAATACCTCTGGGTGGTTGAAGTCTCCCAGCCCCTGACACTTGTTCGCAGAGTGAGTGCGTATAAACTCAATGATTTCATTGGAGGTGGGCATGGGGCTTTTATGCACTAACACGACCGTAACCTGAACCGAGGATGTGCAAATCAAGAATGCGAGAGTCTATACAGAATTGTCAAGAGATTGAAAAACGCTGAGCCTCAATACGTCTATGTGATAACTCACATGAAAAGCTACACCATCTCTTTGACGGCCAATGGAGCAGTCAGCGCGGGACAGTGCGTGGCCAGGCAGATTTATTTCGCCATCTGTGATTTTCTCAAACAACCACGTTTCAGTTAAAGCAAGTATAACTGGACGAGATTTGTCTACGAGCAGACCCACCTCGCACATTTTGTTCCTGAGGCTACGCACGTTACTAGGTACTACTTGGAGGACTTCGGCTCGACCAGCCCTGGATCGTGCGCAAGTATACTAGGTTGTGGAAGGGTGGAAAATGACCACCGGCTGACCACTGGAAAACCCACCAATCGGAGAAATTGATCGTCGGATGCACGCCGGGCTTTTAGGTCTCTGATGGCTTCCTTTAACTTTAACCTATCTACTAACGGAAGGACTGGTTGCACACCAACGTTGCTACCTTTAAGCTTGAACTCAAATCTCAGTAACGTCCTGCGCTCTTCTGAGGTAGGGAGAACCATCCTAAGCAGACGGGGTCTAGAATTTGGTTGAACAACTAGAACTTTCCCCAAACTGATGAGCTTCCTGACAGTAACGCCAGGGAAACTTGGTGGTAAAAGCCTAGCCATGCAAACTTTAAGTCAACCAAGACCATCAAGCATGTGCTCGGTGGAAAGAGCCGCAGTTGTTTCAGTCATGCTTCGGATAATCACACTGCTATCTGTGTAAGAATCGCCCCAATGAAGTGTATTTACTCCACATGCTCTACCATCCATGTCATATGGTTGTTTGCCAGGACACTTGAATTCGTACTTATAAAGAAAAATATCTGGTCTAAAGGACATGTAAGGACACTTCACTAGGGTTAAGCGATGATCCCACCAGAGTTTATACTTGTGTGTTGCGCTGAAGATCCGGAGAAACGCACCGAACTAACACGTACTGGCACACATTACGTCATCGCTGAGAATTTATTAGACCATCTAGAACCACACATCCAAGCACCCGAGCTAAACGGTTTTCGCAAACCTCGTTCATGCACTACCAACATACTGACTACACCCAGTAGTCGGACAGAAGAGGCTGATAAAGCTAGAGGGACAGACATTATCTGCCTTGAAACGCCGAAGTTTTCATCCGACTGGACCACCTTATTCTGCTTCACAGACTCGAAGGCTATGGAGCTGGGGATCCTGTCCTTCGGTGGATCGTGGATTTGCTTGCAGCATGGCAACTACAGGTCAGAGCGTGAGGTAGACTGTCCGATCTGAATTATAATAAATGTGGAGTTCCACAAGGATCAGTTATGCTAAAGCGTCTGTTTCTCATGTGCAGTAACGAGCTTACGCGTTTGTTAGCCACATATCTCTCGCTGTTCGCTGATGTTGTTATGATGTGGCAGATGATTACCGATCCAGGAGATCACGACGCAATTCAGCGAGACTTAGACAGAACGTATGAGCGGTCACTCCACAATCTGTTCCAGATCAATTGGGGAAAGTGCAAGGTGGTCCACATTCGTCACCAGCCGAACATCGCATAAAAGCTCGGAGACCATGTACTGTAACCAGCCACCGAGGAGCGCGACCTTAGGTACTAGTCCAGGCTGATCTTGGCCGCTCAGAATGGTCTGAGAGGGAGTCAAATACCGTAAACCAACAACTTAGCATGCTGTGGAGGGCGTTTGGGCGGTTTGATCCCTCTGTCTTTTCCTAGTTGCTTAACATCTGCATGCGACTGCATTTGAATACGTAATCCAGGCTTGGCAGTCTAAGCACAAGCACGATCTTGCGACCCTCGGGATTACACCGTGGCCAGACAAGAAGCACATCAAAGGGTTGGTCACTCTTACTTATCAGCTTAGACTGAGAGCCTTAAAATCATACAGCGGCCAGTACTGGCGCCTAAGTGGCGGTCTTATTATGGCCTACCAGATTCTAAGGAACCCAAACCACGTGTACTGCTACATACTACAACTGATCCACAACGCCAATTTAAGGGGCCATCAGTTCAACTTAGCCATGTAATATCCATTTGGCTAGAATGTCGACAGAACTTTCACTCCCTTGGTGTGTGCCAACCATGGAACGCCCATCCAAATTACGTGCTTTTCATTCCCACTTTACCTGTGTTTAAGAAGCGCCTTGACGTTGTCCTAACCCACATACGTTACGAGATATAGCCTATGTGTCTCGACAGACGATATAATGTGACGAACGTCGCACAACCAGAATTAACCTACACAACGGAGGTTGGCATTTTCAAAGTATCTGTTTTGTAACATTTGTGAGTTAACCTAACTGATTTTCATTTTAGCACAGTTTCCTTTCCCCATGTTGTGGCTCTCATTCTCGCCATCCTGCGGGACTTGCTAAGGATCCGCTTTTTGCCAGTAATATAACATGGTTCAATTGAATGTAACTGGCTTGTCTAAACATAGCGTGCCAATTACCGGTAACTGCATGGACTAGCTGGACATCACTTGTAAAAGTCGATTTCATTCTCCTCTCTGGTGCTTTTATTCAGGTTGGTGAAACGCACTTCAACCGAGCAGCGTTGTTCAACATTGCGTTTATTCAATCCAACAAGGTGGCCGATTTCGACTGCTTTATCTTTCACGATGTTGACTTGCTCCCACTGCAAGACAATCTGCCATATCGTTGCAAAAAAACGAGGCCTGTTCATCTCTCTGTAGCAGTCGACAAATTCGATTTTAAGTAAGTGCTTTCATTAAAAACTGTTGACTTTTCCAATACTTCGGACGGATTTCTGATAGTACCTACGCTGCACCCCGGTTTAGGAAACATCAGGGATACTGCACCATCGATGCATAACGCCAGCTGTTGCTGTTCTGGTTGTTATTATCTTGTCTGAATAAAGTTTCGATGGTGCAACCTACAGAGCTGTCTGGACGTGGATATCACAATGCGAAGGGTGATGCTTCGGATATAGCTGATTCAGTGGCAATCAAAATGCCCTGCATGTCTTTGCGAAGTAGTAGACTCCCTATTCGTTTGAAAGAAATACCTTCACTACAGAAGAGGTAAAAGCCGACTTATTTTCCGAGGTGTTCCGTTAGTTTTTGTGTTTAACCGATTGATAGGCTTGCTGGGCTATGGCAAAACAGTTGCACTAGACACGCACGCTATCGCGCTAGTGAAAGACTAGCGTGGATCTAACATGTTTTAATTCTTATATCGAGCATGGTGTCAAATTAAAACACAGCTTCAGTTAAACAGTCTTCACTGTACACAGACCACAATCTACCAGCTGTGCTGTTACAGCAATATAAAGAGAGAGAAGTTATGTGTTTGACAGTGATTCAAAGGTATCAGTTCTAACTTGCAGTGAAGTGCCAATCAGCTTGGCCGGTTCAGTTGATTAAGAGCGATGGTTTTAGGGTGCACTTTAACCAGCCAAGTTTATGGAAGCAAGTTGCTGCAACGTGCATTCCTGTATCTGAGATCAGTGCTCACAAGCTAGATGTAACGACGGAGTTCGTGGAAGAACATGAAATGACAGGTAGATGTGAAGATGGTATAGTTTGTCTCCTTGAAAGAATCCCTGGATCAACATCTACAGGATAGGAGTCGATCTCATTTCCCTGCGGACCACAACAGAAAGAGCTCAGACTTTAGAAGGCAGCGCTTCGGCAGTCAACTGCAAACCTGTTGACCTATGACCATGCTTCCTGTTATGATTTTTAAAATTGGTTTGGATATTGGGAACTAAATTTTCAACCATTTCTTTTTTGACTTCCCTGAATTGCACAGGTTAGGAGGCACTGAAACAGTCCCTGTGGTCAGGTCAACGGGCAACCTTCCGTTCTCAATGTCCAGTTACGGAATTGAGAACACCTCAGCTGACTGGTCGTGTTGTAGCTGGACCCGCATATTTGCAGTTAATTTTAACGATTTAATGTGAGGCAAAAAAGTGAAATATTCTAGCAAGCATTTATTTCGTCCCCCTGGTGTTGATCGCGAAATTACAGATAATGTTTGCCTGAAATCTGCAAGCAATAATAACGCGTTCCAAAATGGTCTGATGTTTCCACGCAAATCCTACAATGATCGATTAAGCGCCTCGAACCATTTTAATGCGCCATTGTGCATGCATAATGAAAAATAACTACATTACTTCAAAAGATTTCCATGCCAAAAGATTTAGAAATGTTCCATGCGGGAGTTACCGTGAACCACACATTCAATGCCAATTTCACAGCAGAATGAGCAGTTGTTCTACCAGGTAGCCATGTCGCAGTTATTCCGGACGACGTAAGAGTTAAGGAAATGCTATTTTTGAATCGAATTGCTGCATGAATCTAACTAAGAAGGAATTTTAACTGGTTGCTTCTGGCGCATCTAAGAAGCAGAGTTCTCCAACCGCATTATTGACAGCCTGACATATTTGATCGCAAATACAGCTTAGCTCAAGCAAATCAGCCTAGGAATACTGAGTTTCACACAAGACGAAAGATTACCCGTATTGTAATGTTGTTCACGACGTCATTCGGCATCGAACGAAGCAACAAGAGATCGATTCGGTGATGGCATTCCCAATTAGTTGAGCACGTAGTTCACGATTTCTGAACACAAATTTTCAGTGATTATCAACACTGCTGTAAATTTCTGTTTTGTAATCCATGTTTCTATCTGAATCTTCCTTGTGTATTCGATGGAACATAGCTTTGGATATATGCACTTTATAAGTTGCTTAGAGTTGTGCTAGAAAGGAAGGAGAGCAGCTGATCAATATGAATGCAAAAAATGGGCCAATATGATTTGGATCTGACGCGTTGCACAAGTCACTAATGCATAAATTTAAGTATCGGTCATTCCGCAATAAATTCATATTTTGACATGCGCTGCGGAAAGTGGTGCGTGTAACGCCGTTGAGAATTAACAAATGCTGGAAAGACAAAAGACAAGGCAAAGTTACCAACAGCATGCGAAGAAAAAGCATTCACGATTTTGCTGCATGGTGTATAGTCAGTTTATCTGAGTTTCTTAGAAAATGCCAGGTTGTCCATCGACCCCCTCTCCTCGTTTGTGTGGTTCAGATGGTTTGCTACTTACATTACCTGGACACTTCTGAATACGGCAGTGCTTTCTCAAACGCGTCATTACGATATAGCTTGGAGAAACCAGTTAACGTTGTAGCTCTTTGATACCGGGGAAGTTGGTGAATATTCACAGCTGTGAAATAAAAACATTGTCCGTTTTTCGTATGTGCGGCCAGGTGAACAACACTTGGACTTCGTTCATATATGTGAAATGAAAGAATGCTCCATACATTTTAATTACTGTCTGTGTATCTTCCATCCTGAAACTGGGCGACTTCATCTGTAAACATGCCCGTATTCTAATCACGTCTTTCAGGCAACATGTCAAAATTGCCATGTCGCTACCTGTATCCAAGCAATAAGGATATGCTGCCACTGCTGACCCCATCTCTGGTTATTTATCAGTTCAACTGCGCCCACGGCACTACTTGTATCGGTCGAACGGCAAGGCACCTGTCCAAACGCGTGAAGTAGTACAGCCTCCAACGGTTGTGTCAACGCGGAAATAGGGCCATTAGCTGCGCCGCTTTGGACCATATTATCGGCACTGGGCACTAAGTTGATATACATCGTGCCTTCAAGATAATCCACAGGTTCCCCCAGCATTAATCCAGAGGTCTGCGCCTCCGTGCACTCACTGCAACTGAATTGATTTTCATCCGGTTGTGTGAACCTTTTGTATGCTCGCAATAGACGTTGCTCAGTGATCGACCACAGATCAAGCTCGATATTATGCAATCGACTTGTTAGGTCAAACGTCAATGTTTAGCCTCCCACACTGAACCGCAATTGAACTGTGTACTTTGAGACAATGAGTAGACTTTATTTCCTTCCGTATCACTGTTTCGCATTTGTATGTTTACTAATTTACCACCGTCCTCTGCTGATTGTTTTCTGTATTAGGGCGGTCCATCACTTCCTGTAACCGTGTTCCATACTAATGCTCGAGGGCATCGGTTTGAGTATTTTCCGTCGATCATGCATAGTGAGCTTGGATTCAGTGTACCGCAACGTCCATGTATTAACGTTTTCGTTAGAACTTCGTGCAAGTCATTATCAACATCGGCATTGGGTATTTTAACGCATATTACATCGTCTCTTACGTTTGAGTTGTTTTTATTATAGAGCCGGCTTAGTATTTGTGAGTGTGGCAATCCTCTATTCTGCCATTTCACTGAGTACATCCAACAGCGAACAGACAAAAACGCCTCATATTTTACCATGCAGTCCATCAGAGATTTCAGCTTCTGTCTGAAAACATTTGCTGTGATGGCATGTCTATCCACCGGTGATTGCCCAGGAAGTAGGAGCTGCGGAATATCATCCCAATTTGGATGGCAGGTAAATGTAATGAATAAGTCGGGACGCCCGTATTGACGAACATACGCTATTGCATGTTGATCGCACTCACGCATATGAAGTGGACTGCTTGTATATGAAGATGACAAACTTTTCAGTCTTCCAACGTTAGCTGCAATACTATGATTTACAACAGCCTCTCTCAAGTGAACGTATTCTTCAAAGTGAAATTTGGTCTGATTCAAGTGGATGAATATCAAAGGTTCTTTTTCGACTTTTACAAATATATCGACGACGCATTGGTGAAACAATTGACGACATCGCAAAATGTGACTGTCTCTATTCTCTAGATTCATTAATTGATAGGAACAAATGTCCCTTGCGCAGTATATCCTACTTGTTTCTTCGCTACTAAATGGAATTATCATCTTATATTTGAAATGATATCCATCAGCATCAACCCAAAATCTGATTGGATATTGCTGGGCAGCGTAGCATTTATGGTTTTCTACAACCTTTGTCGACTGACGGTTTCGCTGATAATGAACAATCTCTCTACGTTAGAACTGAACTCCGCATATGTTATAAAGCTGCACCTGCAATCGACCGGTTGATTCACGCCTGCTGGTAAATCTGCACCCTTATGCCTGCTCTGTTTGACGTCTTGACAAACCCGACAGGAAGGAAAACAGACGAAGACTCAACCGACCAGAGTTGTATTAGTACTGAAAACGCTCATATTCATAACTAGGTCTCACCAATCCTCTAAACGCCGCCTGGTGGATTTGGATGTAAGCCCACGCTCCACACTTGATTGTCGGCACCGTCTGGCCAGTTCGCTATCTTACTCGGGCACGCCAATCTTCATCCACCTCCCCGGGGCATGGCAACGCATGTGATGTCTGCCGCGCGATTTCATCAGCTTCCGGTCAGACCTTGGCAACAAACATGCTGGCTGATGCGCGATTTCATCAGCTTTCGGATGGGCCCTGGCAACATGCTCGCAGGGTCTGTCCGAAGCACGGCTTGCGGCTTACCTGCGCGCATTGGCAATCAGCTTTCTCTCCCAGCTGTCAGACTATAAGTATTCTCACTTCGTCTATAGTTGGAGCATTGAATCTTCGCACATGTTCTCCAGCGTGAGTTTTGACAGCATGAATAGCATTATTGTTTATATCTGATGTTATCATACAATCGGAGTTTTGAACAAACACACCAACACATTTTGATGAAGAAACTCTCGCAGTTGGGAAACTATGGACTTTTATATTTCAATGGAAATCCCGCAGCATGCATTCATCTCATCATTGCCACTTCCGGTGAAGTACATTTGTATACATTTATGTCGACCATCTG